TTGCTGACGAAAGGAAATTATGTTAAGGCTTATCAAAGCGCTATCAGGAAAGGGTTGTATTTTCATTCGAATATAAGTGGATATATTTTTCGGATAGTAATGTGCTAAATCGCACAGATGATTACCATTACTGCGATATTAGCAGCCACTTACATGCATGAGAGAAATTACTAGGTTAGATTAGGTTAAATGGCTGATTCGGCATTGCGTGAGGAGAAATTAATAAGGGTCATTTATAGCTATTCATAGAATACACGTACTGTATATGAGAGCGATTATAGAAGCTGGACAGGTGTTTGGCCGAACTTCCATACCAATTTGCTGTCTGTTGTTTGAAGTAACCCAAAAAATCAAATATCTACTATTGGGAAGTGCCTCAAAGCGCTTAATTTTAGCTGTCAAGCATAAAGTTATACCATACGTAAAGAGCCGCAATTTCTTTAACCGTCGCAAGATTCGAACCCACGACACAACAAATAGAAGTAGCACGCTAAATAACTTGACTGCACCGTCCACTAAGTATCCGTATATGAGTTTCTCATCAGAAATCACGCGTGCTTTCGCATTTAATATCCAGCAACTTTCCTCCAAATGCAATCAGTTACTCAACCCGCAAATAGTTTACAAGCAACAGCTTCAGGGATGCTGTAAAACTAAACGTTTCAGTTCAAATATTTGCATAGACTGTGTTTGAAATGAAAAATAAACAAAAATTATCTTTTGCAGGGAATGCAAAAGTGCATACTACCGAGTCATTCAAACAAATGCGTACTTTCATGACATACTGTTATATTTATACGTTAAACAGTGAGGTTGTGTTCGCTAAATGGAAAGTGAAGCTCACATGTGTTCGGTCGCAACAAATTTGCAGATCAGATACTGAGTAAATGAGATAAAGAAAAGATAAATTGGTTGATGACTGCGGGAAATGTGAAATATTAGAAATACGGAGAGCATCAACTACATTATATGTATCAACAACTGAAGCTACGATAATTTTTGGAGCGCAAAAAAATTTAGCTTGCTTAAAAAAACGTAGCATACGGCTCATTCCTCATTCACAAATGCCCCTTAGTTATCACATCTTCGTTTTCGGTAGACCAGTAAGACCTTTGCATACACTTTTCCGACTTTAACGACTAGGATCTAAGTGTCTCCAGTTACGATTATCTTAAATTTGAAAAAAATGGCAAACTTCTGGTAACCTTGAAGTTTCAAAGGTTTTTAAGGAGCTTTTATCAAAATTTAAAATCTTATTTCATTACTTTGCTGAGCCAATTAGGAAACAAGGTGTTATCAGGGTCCGCTATCGAGTTATTTTTTCCATCCAGTTTCCAAAATACTAGCACTTTGCAATCAGTTCTGTTATATACGTTTGAATCGCTTTTTCGTTTTTGCTTTTCCTGAAAATCAATTGTTCTTGAGATTAGCTACATTGAAGAAATACTTTTCAGATCTCCTTAACAAGTCTTTCAATTGAAACTCTTATTTCCAGCGCAGGTTAGCCATAGTCCTGGATTTGACCGAAACTTTTCAGGTTGAGAAGAAGAAATTCACTTATCTGTGGTCTCAAGTCGAACGTTGACGATTGGTTCTAGAACCCTAACTAATACAATAAAATAAAGTTCGTAAGTGGAGTCGTCAATTTAAATTTTAAGGTGTAATAGATTCGTTATTCAAATTCTTTCATATTAGACTAGACCAAGTATGGGTGCCCAATCACAACGGAATTTCGGGAAACTGCAAAGCATATGAGCTTGCTAGGGAGGGCACTCTTTATATTTTATTTGAATGGAAGCGAATTGGTTTTCTGATGGCATCTTGCCAACAAACTTCTGGCCTAGAGTGAACCATAAGAGGTCCTTCGAACTACTTGCTCTTAGAAAAATCAATCTCACCGCGATTGTTGGTGTTCTGACTGGACACTGTCCAATAGTTTCACACACAGTGCTGCAAAATATTTATTCTTTGTCAAAGCTGTATGGAGGATGGCGGGGTGGAAACATCAGGTTAGGCTTAACGAAGTGGCTAAGATTGTTATTAACCGCCTTAATAAATTTGTGGTATCTATTTTTAGAAATTTTTGGGTAACACAAAGGACGAATGTCTGTCCAAGTGAGATCCTTTGATTTTGGATTAACCCTACGACCAAACCTAACCTAACCTAACATATTGAATATTTCATATTCCATTGAAATTCATTTGCAATCTGCGATTTCCAACTTGTTTCGATTGTTCAAATTTTTTGATTAACCGTAAACGTATCCAATGAGAATTTTAAGTTCTATCAAACCTAGATTCCAAAGAGAACTTATTTACTGCTCCAAGTATATTTGGATATGTCAACAAGCGCGCAAACGCCACAAAGTGCAAACCAATCGTTAGAAGGTCATTCAGCAAAAAACCGGTTTGACATGAAACCAAGTTAAAGACGCGTGGAGAACAGCTCAGTACCGCACACATTGGACAATTATGCCCGCAACACATGCGCTCACATACCAAACAAGGCTCACTAGCGCACTTATTAGCGTCATTTGTCCAGCAAAGTGATCGCATTAATTACAAGCCGTAAAGTGGCTCCATATGGAGTCACGACGCAACGCATGTGCTTTTCACTGCACTACGAGGTAGTCGCGCTCCAACTGCAGACCGCGCGCTGCTGTCAGTACAAGTAGAGGCATAAGCGGATTACATGGCTTGTTTAGCGAGCAATTGAAGAGCAATTCATTATCACGGGCAAGTGAGCGAGTGCCCATATATGGCCAAATGGCGGACGGTCTAGGCGTGCCAGAGTCCAGTGGAAGTAAGCATTTAGCAGAAATTAAATGCGATGATTAAACAATTTCATTGTGGTTTCTCACAAGCGCAGTTCGCATTACAACAGCCTAGTTGCTTACTTATATAAATAAATTGCTATTTTTATTGTTGTTATTTATTGCTATTAACAAATTATTATTAATTGTGGCATAATTGCTATTAAAATGACGAAAGAGTTGACGTTTGAAAAAAGTTACTTGACGTTTGTTGGCCTGCTTTGTTGGGTTCATGGCGTTGAGTGACCGTTTTGTGATCTCAGAGTATCTTGGGAGAGAATTTTGCAATATTTGAGATCTTAAACCTATTCTGGTTAACAGATTTAGCAATTCACCATAGGAAGCCACGCATCCAACACTTGCAACTATTCTTGCTTATGTTGCGCGTCTATTTTTACGCATACAAATTGCATGTACATCTGTCTCTGCTACTTAGATATTTTCCATTTCTACATTCTAATTAATTTTTCCAAACATTTCCGCAAACATCACAACTCTAAGTAGTTGCAAATTAACCTCTGCCTGAACGCAGCAGACGTCCAACGGACCGGCTGTCTGTGCAACTCTTCCATGCAAAGATGCGGCAAATAGGAAGAGAACACAAATTTAACGCTTCCACTTGTGCGCGTACATCAAATGTGCGGCTATTTTTAAAATTCAAACGTCAGTCAAATGAAAGCGGCGCGCGGCAGGCGTGCGGCGTACGATGTGCCGATGTGCGGGCAAAGACTCCAAAATGTGGCGCGCAAACTCGTGCGTGTTGCAGTCAGTAAGCGAGACATAACAAATGCATTACATACACACATGCGGCAGCAGCAGAGCACAGCATAGCGCATAAACGGGTGTGGAAAAATCCTTTTTGGCGTTGAGCAATTGCATCAAAATGCGTTGCAGCGTGTGCATTGATGATAATGATGTTGCTGCTGCACGGCCACTGCCGCACACTTGAAGCCAGCACCATGCATAATATTCATATATGCGTATGTATATGTGTAAGTTGGTATTCCCTGGAGAGGAGGCAAGGTAAACAACCGCATACGCAATGCAATGCCACTTGAGCAGCTGACGTTGCGGCATTGCCACATTGACGCGCCTTGACGTTGGCTGTGGCTCGAGTGTTCAGCATTTCAGCGCGTTAATCATGAGACTGAGTGCGGCGACGCATTTCGTTACTGTTTTGCACAGCGCTATTTTCTTGCTTCTGCAAGGAATTCCCAGCACTTAAGAATTCTTATTGGGAATTCAAGGGTGCTTCAAATATGCGTTATGCGTATTTTATGGTAATGTTATGTTTGCTGTGCTTGAGGGTTCGCCTCGCAAACGATGCGAGGATCGAATGTAATTTGCTTGAAAAATTGCTGCCTTTCGATTGGAATTTATTTCAGCCAGTCGCGACAGTGATTGGCCCGATCTCATTTTTAAAACATAATGGCAAACCCTTATCTTTATAATAATGCTAAATTCTCAACCATAACATTTGTATATTATTATATTATACGTCTAAAAAAACACAATTTATTTAAAATTTAATAAAAAGATTTAAACAATATTTTATAAAGATAAAATTTGAAAATTAGAAACTCTTAGAATACAAATATATCTAGAACCTCAAAAAAATCTTTTTTATATACGTGTATAATAAAACGATGATGGCAACCCTACATGAAAACTTTTTCTGCGCACATACCTCCCTAAACCGACAGAAACTTATTCATATAATTCTAAATTTAAAGGAGAAAATAGAAAATATTCAGCTTAATTTTTTTACAAACATTTTGCTTTGGTCCTATGCAACATCCAACATGTCGAGGCTCCAACTAAACACAAAGTCCCCTCTCATTTGCGCTTGCTCCATAACCCCCCAATTCTCTACTCTCAGCAGTCTACTCTAATCGCTCAGCGCGTTCAACGCTACCAAATGTAGTCTATGCTTGGGAACCGGTTTTTCTGGCAGCCGGCTGTCAGTTTCTGTTTTGATTATTTTATTTCCAGGGCCACACAAACGCACGCAACTCGCATGCGCCAAGCAAATAAACAAAAACCGATTGATATACAATTCGCTTTTACACTCTCGCGCTCTTATAAACAAAAGTTAATTGCGGAGCGAATGTCTGTCTCTCCGCTCAACAGTTGCAGAGCAAGCTTACCAATGTGTACGCAACTTCATTTTCAACATTTTCACCGCCACACACCATATGTACAAATATATTTTTGTTGTATTTACTTACAAGCACAGCGACTCCTTTCTCATTTCGCCCACCCGTCAGCCACCCCGCACAGTTGTTGTTGAAGGCTGTTTGTATTATGCGCTGCTGGATGGCAGTCTGGCTGGCTGCTTGTCTAACTTCTTGGTGCATGTTTTGGCTTCAGTCGTTTTGTCGGGTTGTTTGTGCAAGTTGTTCGCGTCGCACAGTTTTTTGTTGATGTTCGCATCTGTTTGGAGTAGTCGTCGCGCGGACATTGAACGTGTTGAACGTTTATTTGCTTCGTTTAAGTATTGAGCGCGCCGTGTAGTGAACGAGTCGCGTGGAAAATTCAATTCTTACGTGAAACAGTTTTACACGAGTGTCGGCTCATTTTGCTTCGGTGTTGTTGATGTAATTTCTTGTTAAAAGTAGTAAACATTGATTTGATATCAGTTATCAGTGAAGTGTTGTCAACAAGTTTAGTGGCGAAAATTTAATAAGTGCGTGTAGTGCTGAAAATGGATACACATGCGGATAGTAGTTAGAAGTTTATAAAAAATATGTTGAATGTTAAAAATATAATAAAAATTTAATTTACTTAAAAAGTGCCAAAAACAAGTTTTTAAATTAGACTGAATCGAATTATTTAGCTATGCAGCGCAAGTAAATAAAATATCGCTCCTACATTTTGATGTGTCTCGTGCATATAATAAATAATGCTTTTTGTTTAAAAAATATTTTTATTGGTAAATTAATCGAATTAAAATAAAAGCAAATAAAAATGTTGTTTATATGGTTGGGTAACTCGATTGCCGCTAGTTATTACTCAGAAAATAAGATTTTAAAATAATCAAAATATTTATTTTCCAATAGAAATTTAGTATGTACCACGAGAGTTAGATTTCTTAATAAATAAATATTGGATCTATAACTAAATTCGTGCGGGTTATTTATTTTTTCAAAATAGTATTATTTAAAGTTTTGCCCATTTGAAATTATAACATTTTCCCATACTTCTGGCAATTTGTTCATTCCATTGCAAAAGAACTGCGCCAAGAATGAAATACTTTGATATGATGATGTGAACCGTATTTAAGTGAGGGCTTTCTGCATCGAGCAGAACAAAAGATAGTCAGAAGGAGCAAGATCTAGGCTATAACGCTGGTATGGCAAAACTTCCCAGCCGCTGATTTCCAAACAGTTTTTAACTGGTCTTGCTCATGGGGTCGAACGTTGTCACTATAAAAAATTATTGCCTCGTGTCTAGTCATATATACCACTGATCCCACCAAATACAGAGCATTATCTTGGCGTCATGAATATTCGATTTTGTATTTAATTTGGCTACTTGGCGATGCAAAAACAATCTCTTTTTTTTAGCATTCAAACAGCATTTTTGACATGCAAAATCATCTTTGAATGTCTCTTGTCGTTATTTGGCATCCAATTTCATGCTTTTGAATGTATTCGACTGCTTTTAGAAGCTTTGAAAAGGCTCCCAAAAGTAAAGCGCTCTTCATGTATTTGGTGATAAACTCTATTTAGTAATGCTTCCGTTGAAACAATAATCAAGTTACGCCATCTTTTCGCAAACCACACGAATATGGTTATAGACTATACACAATAGAATAAAAAATACTCTTATTGCTATTTTTATTTTATTTTATTTTGTAGTTCGATTGTAAAATCTTTAACGAAAGTTTGGCTTAACTTAGACATATATTTTTTCGTTACTACCTCAACGGTCCAGTATTAAGATGGATACGGTCCAGTATTAAGAACTGTGTTTATAACACAGTTTCGTACGCACTTTCAGCAGCCAATATTCCTGGAAACTCAGTCAGTCTCGACCTACTGCTTTATGTTATCAACGAGTTTATTAATTGTCTCTGGTTATGTCCTTTCCTTTATAATTCTTTGTACTGTTTTGCTGAAAACCTCCTTAAAAATCTCGACTACCTATTCTACTAAGACGAGCGCAGTTTTTAAACAATACTCTTAAATGAACTAACTTTTAAATGTTTTAACAGATAAAAACCTATATTTTGTTTATACCATACAGACAGACAAACTCAAAAAATTAGTTATCACTAATAATCTGATTGATCTGACCAATTCAAGTGTCTGATGATGTCATACACTCACAGCTCTCCCGTAATTACCTCTCTTACCACAAAAAATCGTTTTATACCAAAATATGTAAATCATGCAGCTTAACGCAATAACGGTAAATTAACGCCAAAGGATAAAGCGCCAATGGGCGCCCTTAGTGACCACACGCAGTCGGGTCAGCGGGCAAACAAATGTGCTTGAGATAAGCGCTAATTTACGAGCTGCAAGCATACCCCGCATAAAATGTGCGTGTATGGAGCACGCATACGAGCATAACCTCAAATATATGCTTATATAAATTAATGCATGTGTGCGTTTACGGTATGGCTTTCAAAAATTTTCAGCTGTTAAGTTTCAAAATTTATGATCAAATTTTTTGTTGTTGTAAAAATGGTTATTCTTGATAAGAAAATGGTCGCAGACAGACTAAAATGAGGGCGAGAGGAGAGTTTAAAACGCTCGTGAAGGTAGTCTGCAGCTTGAAAAACTTTACTATCGAGAAAAAAATGGTAGAGCGGAATAAAAAATTGTTTGTGAAGATATTTTTGATATATATGATATGTTTTTTTGCATTTAATATTATTATAGTTGATTTTTCATCACAACCAGTTAAGAACTAATAAATTTTCGTAGCTCTTAAAATCAAATTTTCCTATAACAAATTTTACATTCTAACCTCAAAAGTAATTAAAATAATATTTTCATTAATTAAAGTTATGTTTTTATATAAATAATATAAATAATTAAAATATCTTATTTTTACCATAGCACGGCTTATGACCCTTTGAAAACTAAATTCCCTGCCGACCAATTTTCCACTTTCCCACCACCTCACAAATTACAACTTCAGACATTTTCACGCTGATTAACCCTTTTCAACTTTAATGGCGCATTGTCACCAACCTCATTACCGATAACCACATCGACTGCAACAACAGCGCCAATTTGTGCAGTCAACGGTATGCTTTTAATTATCTTCTTTAAGACTCCGCGTGGCTTTAATTAATCTTCATTTGACTTGTAAGCATGTAGTTTTCGGTTCGCGAACATCCTTTTCCACTTTTCGAATAACAATTTTCACTGTCTGTGTACTGCAGCACATTCTCAGCACCATAAATTTCCCCCTTTTTTTAAAACCATATAAATATTGTGTGGTTTTTCCAATTTGCGCGCACAAAAGCGCACTTGAAAGGAGTTCAAGCTTACATATTGACATGCAGACGTACATATATTTGTACAGCTACAAAGTCATATGAATTGCTATAGAAGCACACTTCTCTGTAGTAATTCCAGCCAACTTCAAGTACCTCCACTGTATTGAAAAGCAGTTTGTTGTTGTAGTGGAAAATGCTTGGGAAACTTTCCGCAATTTTGTGGAGTGGAAAAAGTTAAACTGTTGTAAAGTTAAATTCATTCAAGTGTTGAAATATTTGTATGTATGTACATATATAGAGAAATATATACATATATATATATGTTTGTATGTAAATATTTCGCATTGAAGTGCATTGGATTTATCAGCGATTAGTTTGACGACTAATTTTTGTTAAAACTCACTCCCCTTAGCCTTCTTATCACTAACGAGTATTAAGCATTTTCCAGTTGTTGAAAAGTTCAACCCTTGATTTCATTTGAATAAAGGCACGACAACAAAAACTACTCAAATATGTCCAACAAACCAATATTTGCCAATAAGCTTAACCCTTGTTGATGGTAGGGATCATAAGTGACTGACTTCCAATAATCGCAGTACAAGACATTTCATTGTTTGACAAATTCTCGCAACCTTTTCCAACACTAACATAATATTGTATCTTCTTATTTCTGCTACTGTTAACGCTAATCTGCCTCGCTGTCTTTCTACATATTTTCTTAAGCCTCTCGGCTAATGACAGAGCTGTCAAATGTCATGTCAACAGCGTGAAAAGCAAAACTGCTACTGGAAGCGTACACATTCAAATATATTCTGTTGAATATACAGCCACATTCACACATCGAACATTATTATGTAGTATTAATACATTTGGCTCATCTTGACAATGAACTTCTTTGGAGCCGGTGGGTACTGCCAGTCAGTGTCAATGAACTTCAGTGCACATATTGACAGCTCTACAAAAAATTAAATAAAAGGCACATAACATTTTTTAAATACAAATAAAACCCGTAGAAGATACATAGTATATATATGCCCACACGGGAATCAATCAAACTGACTTTCCTTTTTAGCTCGCTGCACCCTTATCTGCTGTCATTTGCTCACATATGTGCGCTTCCTTTGCAGCGGGCGCTCGGTATATGGTGCATATAGGATCGTATGATATCGCAATTGTCAATCGCAAGCTGTCAAAATACCAAAGCAACAGCAACGTCTGGCAGACAAATGAAATGTCATATTGACATATATGAATGAATTTGTATATGGGTAGGTGTGTTTACAATATAAATTTTCATTTTTTTTAATTTTTAATCCTTTTTAAATGAGCGAAGTGTGTGAAGTACGTAATAAAATTGTTTAAATGCAGACCAGCTGAAAAAATGCTGTGCAACCGTGTGTTGTTGTATACTATCAGCGTACAATAGCGCCGGTGTCAAAAACAGCTGCGCTCAAGTGTCAAAAGTCAATACTCACCTTTGCCTGCTGCCAGCCAAAATGTGTCGCAAGCGATATGTAAAACAGTGGGTTCTTGAGCGTGTGTTTGTGATGTTTACTTGAATGGTGATTTAATTATGAGTTTATGGCTCATTAAATTGACTCGTTTAGGTAATAATTGGGTAGTTAGCTGTATACTATTATAATTTGTAAATACCTTTTCAAGTGGCTGTGCGGCAATGATGTATTGTGAAGGCATAATAAAGAGGCACGAAGTGAGAAACAGCTGTTAATAAGTTGCATGACATGGGTTTTCTGACAGAATACAGCTGTAAGATTTAGCTACGTTAATAACACGCTTGAAATTAAAGCAATTAAATATTAAATAAAACTCTAAATTATTTTTAATTCTCACAGTTATTTTCATTAGTACTCACAAATGACCGCTACCATTAGCTGATTTATATGATATATTATAAATGACAGGTACTGTATTGTCAAGAAACACTTGTCAAGTTGATAAATATCAAGTGGCATTCGGGTTTGTCGGTTTTATTATAGCAGTTGTGCTAGTTCTCACTTGCATCATTGTTTGGAATGCGCTATCAGATATGTACAAGTTCATATATGTACAAATATAGAAACGTATGCGCACGTAATGTGATAGCCACTAGTTGATACAAAAATCATCGCTAAATATCTAAAATTCTAAAATAACAATAGTTTGTTTTTTGTTGTAATTTTTATACTCTCGTAACATATTGCCACAGAGAACATTGCCGGGGATCGCTGTAAAAAATTTAAAAAGTGGACATATTCCTCTCCCTAGAAGGTTTAACATAGATACATATATTCTGAACACTTGCTCACAAGGAGTCCACTTAACATTTCTTCATACACTGTGAAAATGAGCAAACTCTGATAATAACCACGTCCACTCCCGATATAATGGTTATATTGAAAACTGCAAAAAGTGCGATAACTCGCTAAAAAACAAGACACCCCTAGTTCGTAGGGAAGGTATCTGTAGGTTTGAGTGTAAAA